TTTTTTTGTTTTTTTCATTTTTTTTTTAATGATGGCCCAGTACTTTTCAATAACTCTGAGTTCTGGGCAGTTTAGAGGATTTTCTGTTTTAGGTACAAATTTCACATTATTATTTTTATACCATTCCAAAGCTAGCTTACAATAATGAATTGAAGCTAAATCTGGCCAGAACACAGATCTCTTATCGTGTGATTTAATGAGAGGTAAAAGGCGTTTTTGTAAACACTTTTTAACATATATTTGACCCGAAAAAGTGGACTGAGAAAAATAAGGTGCTGATTTTTTGCCACAACTGCAAATAGAAAATCTGCTTTTCCTCTACATTTGGCAATATAATAGACAGCACCAGGAATTTGCTGATGATCGTACTTGGTATAAGTTTCATTGTCTTCAATAATACAGAAATTTTTAGAAATAAAATTGTCATACAACTTTCTGCAGCGGGTTTTTGCACTTTTTTGTTGAGTTTCAGATCGGTTGGGCACTTTTTGTGCTTTGAAAGAATGAAAACCATGTTTATTTTGAACTTTTACAACAAAGCTATGAGAAAGTCCATAAATGTTTGCGCGCTCCCTTAGTAAAAGGCTTGGATTAGTCTTAAAACTGTTAACCAGTTTTCTAACTAGTTTTTTATCTTTAAAACCCTTATTTCTTCAACCACCAGATTTACGTTTGATCGATTTTTTTTTGAGAAAAACGTTGGATTACACGACTAACGGTGTATGGATGTATTTGCAACGCTTTTGCTATCGAATTGTAGCTACTATTAGGATTTTCCAAATATTTGTGCATAATTTTTTCTCTTATGTCTTCTTCTTTTGTCATTTTTAAAACTAATTTTAAGTTAAACCAAAAAACTAATACATTTTTTTGAAACCACTACACGTTGTAAACAAAATACAAAACAATTAAAAAGATTTTACAGGGTTATGCAAAATTATAAAGTGCTTTATGCAAAATTATAAAGTGCTTTATTTAACAATAAATAAATGCCATTATAATAGTACAGGTCATTTTCAGAATCATCTAAGAATGCATAGGAATTAAAATACAATATTAAATTGTAATTAAAAATTAAATGACTAACTGGCTGAAAAACATAAACCAAATCAGTAACGTTTTTATCTAATTAATGCAAATTTTTTAAATTAATGTTAAAAAATAAAAATTTAAAACCTTACATGGCAAGAAAAAGTCGAATAACGATAACTAAGGAAATTCATGAAACAATTATAAACATGTGTAATTCGACAAATAATCATTCAACCAAATACATTGCCGAAACTTTAAAAATTAGCCAAAGTGCTGTAAAAAACTGCATAAGAAATCATCAAGAAGGCATCAAATTTGCTACTAAGGGAGAGCGCCACAAGCAAACAATCAAAAACAAAAATTTGTTGTTCAGTGAAATCGAAAATACTTTATTTAATACGATAGCAATAAATAATGAACTGACACAAAATGAAATGGTAAATGAAGTTAATGCAGCAACCGGTATGGTAATATCTCAATCAACAGTATCAAGGAAAGTGCGGAAAATAAATATAACGCGAAAAAGGCTTTCATTGCTTCCCGAAGAACGAAATTCCCCAGCAAATATTGAAAAAAGGGCCATATATGCCCGCCGTATCTCGCGTATTTCTAGTGATAAATTGGTCTTTTTAGACGAATCAGGATTTAATCAGCATTTGAGAAGACGATATGGGTATTCCCAAAAAAATGAAAAGACATATTCCATTGTTTCCAGAAACAGAAATACAAATCGAAGTTTGATGTGTGCAATGAATATTTCTGGTGTGGTTGCTTATAAATTAAGAACTGGAGCTTATAATGCTGAAAGCTTTGAAAGGTTTATAAGAAATAACCTGTGTAATTATTTCCGACCCAGACCATATACTGATAATGAATAATGTTCCATTTCACAGATCAAGAAGTATTATAGAAGTTTTAAATGAATTAAGAATAAATAGAGAATATTTACCGGCATAGTCTCCTCAATAAAATCCCATTGAGGAATTTTTTAGCATGATAAAGGCAAGATATTGCGAAATAAAAGCTTTAAATAATGAAATTAATATTAGAGATGCATTGGAAATAATTTTTAAACGAATGCGTGAAATTAACGAAGAATTAAGTGGATTTTGGAGATCAATGGAACGATGGTTGGAAAAAGCTAAAACAAAACATGATTTTTGAATAAAGTAGTTGCTTAAATTAATATAATTTTTTTGAAGTCTAAATGTTAAATGACATGAGCTTATATAAAATAAATCATATATTCGAACTTTTTTATGCATCAAATGGATTTATTAAACGATTCGAAATTTTGCATAAAGCACTTTATAATTTTGCATAACCCTGTAATATAACCACTGAAAAAAAATGACGTACTTATTCTTTCACATTTATTTCGTGTACACGCTTTACCTAACGTTGTTTTGGGTAGGGTTAGGATTATTGTAATTGTAATAAAAACAAAAACAGTAACAATAACTATTGTTAATGTATTAACTTAATTTAGAAACAATAACAATACTTGTGATTTACAACTATTGTAATAATGTAATGCAATAACAATAACTATTGTATTGCAACCATAGCGTTCTCTACTACAGGCCTATTCATCGCGCAACCGGATTTTTTTGTGGAGGCCTACTTTTTTACGGCGAAAAAATTATTTTTCCACGTTCAGACCAGATACAATGTCATGTCGTTTATGACAAATATTTAAATAATGGAATATAATACAATGTTAATAAACTTATATAATTTAAACATGGATTTGCAGATACGATTTAAAGCAAATAATATATTTATAAAATTTAGATTAAATCATCATGCCAAATAAATGTTGTGTGTATGCTTGTCACACCAACTATCAAAGTGAAAAAAACAAAATATCTAGTGAAGTTAATAAAATATCAGTGTATCGGTTTCCAAGTGATAACGTTGAGCGTGAAAAATGGATAAAAGCTATTCCAAACTCTAATTTGGTTGTTACCAAGTATACTGTTATCTGTGAGATACACTGGCCTCCACATTTTGATACAGTTATAGTGCGTGGAGGAAAACGTCGACCAAAAAATCCTCCTTCTGTTTGGCTAGGAATACCTTTATCTCAAATTCCAACTGGTTGTCCAACTGAAAGATCTACCAAAAGATCTTTAAGTGGCATTAGAAGTACAATAGATGATGAGCTAGATACATTTCTTAAAAGGGATAAAGCTACTTTTTGTGACATTAAAAACAAGTTTATTGATAGCAGTGATCACCAATATCCAGTTATATCGTTTATGGTTGATGGCTATGTTGTTATACAATCTTTGCAATTTTTTAATGGAATACCTTTTTTTGTACTTAAAATTTATGAAAATCTTACCTTTGAAACATTTCATTATGGGATTAAGTGTCACATTTCTAGCTTAACAGTAAATCGAATCTTAACTGTTGACTCCTGGTCTAAGTTTGATGAGATACTTCGTTTTTTAAGCTCTTTGAAAATTGATAATAAAAAAGAAGTAATTATGCAACATGTTTCAGTTATGGGACCAAAATTAGTTGGAGATAAACTTTATACACCTGAAATACTTATACGCTCTTTTGTATATTTCTTAACATCCAAGGGCATTATATAATCGCTTAAGAAATGATCAACTTCCATCTATTTCAACACTGACTCGAATTACTTCAAAAATTTCTAATATTAATGAAAACAAATTTATTTATTCAATTTTTAACTCTCTTCTGGATAAGCAGAAATTATGTATCATACTACATGATGAAATATATGTTAAAAAAAGTTTGCTTTACCATCAGGGTTGGCAAAAACCCGGGTTTTTTTAAAAAAACCCGGCCCAGTGGGTTTTTTTGGGTTTTTTTGGGTATTATTGGGTTTTTTTGGGTTTTTATTTTTTTTAATTTTGTTAAAAAAATTTTTTTGTTTGTTTAATAATATTGAAAACTAATACCAATTTTAATTATTTAAGTTTATTTAGAATATATTTTATAAGTTTTTAAAATTTATACACCTCAAATTATTTTCAATAAGTTTTTTTTAATTACAGTTTAAAAAAAATCTAAAAATGTGAAAAAATAAAAAAAAATCATGATAAACCTATATGCATTGATTTATTTTAGATTTAATAATAATATTTTTTATAATTAAAAATGCTGATGGGGAGAAAGTGGGAGAAAAAAAGCTGGAGAATGGGATGAAGTGACTGAAGTTGAAAACAGTACAAAGGTTTCTTGTGACTATTGTCATGCTTTGATTAGCAACAAGATAGAACGAGTAAAACCCCATTTAAAACATTGCCAAAAAAAGTTTTTACACAAGCATACGGAAAGAGAAAATCTCAATTTGTCAAAATATTTAAATAAAAATTGTGATGATGTACCAAATAATGATTTAAATATTAAAGCATCTGCTCTAATAGATGGACCATCATCTCTAATAGCTGGACCATCAGCTCAAGTTAGAAAAAGTTCTTTGGCATCTGTAAGTTCTATAAGTTCGTTAACACCTTGTAAGAAGCAGCGGTTGATGTCATCGTACACAATATCAACTAATATGGAACAGAAAGAAAATATTGATATAAAAATAGCAAAATTTTTCTTCAGTGCAAATGTATCATTTAAAACTTCTGAAAATCAAGAATTTATAGACATGATCAGTTCATTCATCCAGGATACAAACCACCTAACCGTAAAATGCTAGGAGAAAAAGTTTATGAGGAAGTAAACAAAAAAATGATGGATCAACTTACCCAAGAAGAGAAAACAATAACAATTATGCAAGACGGATGGAGTAGTGTTACTTATGATCCCATTATTGCTCACAGTGCATATGACGGACTTAATTCTAAAATTTTATGCATTACTGATTGTGCATCAAATAAAAAAACAGCCAAGTATTGTACCGAACTCTTTTGTAATGTCATTAAAGATCTTAAAGAAACATACAATAAAGAAGTATTTGCTGTGGTAACAGATAATGAAAAAAATGAGGGATTCAATCAAAGAAACGTATCCAAATCTTTTAACATATGGGTGTTCTGCACATTATTTAAACCTTTTAGAAAAAGAAGTAACACACCCAGATGTCATCAAACATGTGGTTGAAGTGCAGAAATATTTTCGTAATACACATTAACCGCATGTAAACATTATTTTGTATTTGTGGGTTAAACTTAGAGTATAAAAAATATATAAAAGTTTAAAATTAACTATTCAATTTTTATTTTAAGGGATGGTTGCGTGAGAAAGGAGGGCATATGCCTCAGTTACCAAACGATACTTGATGAAACTCCCAAATTGACTGTATAGAAACATACATAAAAAACTACCAAATTTATGTAGAAATAGTAGATAATCATGATATACCTATCAAAATCAGAAAAATTATTGAAAATCGAGCAATATTTAGAGAAGCTAACAGTCTTCAAACCCAACTCAAAATATTTGGTGTTGTTTTAGATCAAGTATTTAATTTTTTTATATTAAAGTTTTTTTACATAATGAGATTTTGTAGGTGTAAAGAAAAAGTAATAAAAATAAATATATTGAGTTGATTAAATAAATTAAAAATTTAATTTTTTTTAGATGCAAAGTGACAGCTGTCACCTATCCGAATGTGTTGAGTTGTGGCTCTCACTTTTGAATAACCCTGAACTAAGTCATTACCACACAGCTATCAAAAAGAGATGTAATGATGCTATGACACCTATCCATTATCTTGCGACCAATCCTCGCTTTTTGGGTAAAAATAAGTTTTGCTTAAAAAAAAAATTGTTTTGAAAAATTTCTGAATTTTTTTTTTATAGGCAAAAACCTGCTGATTGAAAATGAAAATGAGGCTGAAGAATGGCTTTACAATCATTATCCTGATTTTGTACCTGGGTTGATTTTGCTTAAATTAAAGGATTGTGATGCATTTTCTAAAAGGATGTTGAATAATCAAATTATATCAACAATATTGTGCAGTGATTGGTGGTCTATCATTAACCAGAGAAATGAAAAATCAATTCAGAAAAAATTGCCTGAAGGATTTTGCAAATTTATTTCTAAACTTCAAACGTGCCCTGCTAGCTCAGGATCAATAGAAAGAATATTTTCTTCATTTGGTTTTATTTGGTCAAAAGTTAGAAATAAATTAGGATGTGAAAAGGCTAAAAAGCTTGTGCAAATATATAAACAGTATCAAAAATAGTTTATAGTTTATGTTTTTACATTAGAGTTTATGCTTTTACAATATAAAGTGAATATTACATTTAAGTAAAGTTGTACTTGCAAGAAGTATACCAAAAATGTAAATAGTCTTGTCAATGTGTATCTATTCTAAAAAATCTTATTGAATGAATCTAATTTGTTTGGTTTCCAAAATAAAATTGTGTTAAATAAAAATGTTGTGTTTAAATTGAAAATTTCCCTTTATAGCTAGCTCTATAATATGTTTATGTTTTCAGAAATGTTGGTTAATAATAGCATATATTATTAATATAATAGTTCATAAGTTTTTAGATATATTTCAAAAAAACCCAGATTGCCTGGGTTTTATTGGGTTTTTTTAGGCGGGTTTTATTGGGTTTTATTGGGCGGGTTTTATTGGGCGGGTTTTTTAATGCCAACCCTGTTTACCATGGTGGAACTATTTTTGGTAGATCGGAGGATAACCCAATGGAATTGTCCAAAACATTGTTAGGGATTATGGCTGTTTGTTTAAATGGGGGTCCAAAGGTGTTAATTAAAATGATACCAATATCAAAATTATGATCTGATTTTTTGTTTGAACAGATTAATTTAACTAGTCAAATAATTGATTCAGTCAGTACAAATGTAAAAGCTATTATATGTGATGGGAATCGTGTCAATCAGGCTTTTGTTAAAATGTACACATTCATTCCGGAAAAACCATGGTTAACAGTAGATGGAAAGTATTTACTTTATGATTTTGTACACCTCATAAAAAATGTTCATAATCTTTGGTTAACTGAAAAAACTCAGGAATTAATATTTGACGATAACGGAGCAACCAGGATTGCAAAATGGACTCATTTAAAGCAGCTTTACAATGCAGAATCCAGAAGCCTTCTAAAGTTATCTGACCTGAATGAAACTTCTATTTCTCCTAAACCTGTTGAACGACAGTGTGTATTAACAGTTTTAAGAGTATTTTCAGAAAAAACTTATGCTGCTCTTTTGCAACATCCTGACATGATACATATTGATGTTAACGACACTGCTATATTTATTAATAAAGTTATTATTTGGTGGAAAATTTTAAATGTCAAAGCCATTGGTGCTGATACAAGGCATAATGATCCTTTGCAGGCTGTTATCAACAATCCTGATGACAACCGTTTAAATTTAATACTACAATTTGGTGATATGGCACTTAAAATGGCAGGTCATAAAGGTAAGCGTATTAAACAGCTTTCTAAAGATACTGCAACTTGTATACATCAAACTTGTTATGGACTAGTAGATTTATGTAGATATTTACTTAACACTACGCAAAACTATGTTCTTCTTGGTCAATTTACTTCAGATCACCTGGAAAAAGAATATAGTATACTTCGTCAAGGTTCTGGTGGTACATATTTTCTTAGTGTTCAACAAGTTATTGAAAAATTACGTATCAAACATGCATCTTTACTTTTGAAGTTAAATGTAGATATTAACAATTTTAATGTGAAGTCTGGTCATCAATGTGCATTATGTGATTACAAATTGTCTGAAGACTGCTGCAAAATTCTTGATAACTTGCAAGATCTAGAATCTTCTATTGCTGATGATGTTAAAATGTCACTTATTCACATTGCTGGTTATGTTACACGAAATGATAAAGAACGAACTGATTATGAACTTTTAGATCAAACAACGTTCTATTTTCAGAAATATCAGTTTTCTAAATTTTTGGATTGTGGTGGATTAAAAATTCCAACTGATAATTCATGCCAATGGACATTTTTTTGTTTTGTAGTTTTTCAAATAGTTAAAGATCATGTATGCCAAAAATCTTTAAGTAGTATTTTTATGATTATATCAGACTATTATTTATTGGATATGGAAGAACATCATTGTGTAATATTGAGCAACATTTTTTTTTTTAAATTTATGTACCACTGTCACTCCAAGATCTGTCTACTTAGTTGTCTACTGTTTATAATATATTCAGTATACTTTTTTATAAAAGATTTATAAAAGTTTCATATATTAGTTGGGTTTTTTTTTCAGATTTTGTTAACAATTTTAATCAAAATTTATCTAATATTTTTTGTTTGGTTTAATAACATTTCTGCTCAATATAAGAAAATATCAATTTTGTATTAAGCTGTTAAAGCCAAAACTAAAGGTGAAATAATATAATTATGTAAATGTTTGAAATTTGAAATAAGAAAAAATTTCTTTGCCTTTTATTTACATTGTATTAACAATGTAAATAAAAGGCAAAGAAATTTTTTCTTATTTTTTATTTTTTCTTATTTCTTATATATTACTTAATATTAATTTTCTTTTTTCATCAAAAAAAATTATTTGGCTATACAGAGAATTAAAATTACTTTTTAGTTTTAAAATTACGAAGTTATTATCTTTTTTGCCGTAAAAAAGTAGGCCTCCACAAAAAAATCCGGTTGCGCGATGAATAGGCCTGTAGTAGAGAACGCTATGATTGCAACTCATCTTTATAAAACAATATCAATATCTGAAAAAAAAAAATGTATTGTAATGACCCACTACAATAACAATAAACATTGTATTGTAATTCGTCTTTATAATACAATAACAATATATTGTTATCGTAATAAAAAAAATTATTTTAGAGTCAAAATTTAATAAATGTTTTAACAGTCCAGTCTCTGAGATAAGTGACCTTGAAATAGGGTACAAATAATATATAAGTATTGATTCTGTTTCTTTTTTATTTTATAAACTTTATATAGCTCTATAAAAGTGAGTTTAATCGGGCCTGTATTTCTTTTACTGCTAGGGATAGACATGATCAATTACTATCATTTCTGTCACTTAGTTATTTGCTTTTACATTAGACACCTACCCAATTGTTTCGAAACTTACTCAACTCACACTTACTCTAATATAACTTTGTCTTTTGTTTCCCTTCGGCTTTATGGCTGTATGTGTTTCATAAAGTAACTGGACATCTAGTTGCAAAGTTATAAAAGAGTTTTGTTACATTAATCAAGAACCAATATTTATTTGGTGTTCTAAACTGCCTCATTTTTCAAAAATGATCCACACAAAATTTATTGGTACGGTCTGATAGGTGATGAACAATCTGAAAATGTAGAAAATTTTTTAACAAAACAAAAGTAGTTCACATTTAATCGATAATTACTCAGGTTAATGGTTCTTTGATTTCATAACGATGTAATTGATTACACATTAGCGGTTAGATATATTGAAAAAAAAAAAGCGCTTAATGTAGTTAATCAATTAGTTTAGACGTCATCATCCGGTGAAACATGTCAATATCAGTTTAGACAAAATTATAAACAAATATAAAATTTTACTTCTTAAAGTAAATAATTATTTAACTACAAGCATATGATAAATTATATATTTGTATGATTTTGAATGAATATTATTAATGTTAATTCTAAATTATTATTGAAACAGTTATATATATATATACTAAATTATTATTGAAACAGTTATATTATTGAACTCAAAACAAATAAAATTTATATATGTAAATGGTTTCTAGAAACCTAATATTTATTAAGTATACGTAGTATATATACTTCTTTGGCTTCCCTGGCTTCACTTCACTTTTCAAAACAAATAAAATTTATATATATAAATGACTGCTGAAAACGGGCACCCCTAAATTATCTAGTGCCCAAATAATAATAAATGCATGAAAAAAGAGTCTAAATACTATAAAATACAATAGCTATTAGACTTTGAAATAGTAATATAATATATCAATGTACTTATTGTAATTGTTTTACATCACAGCAATACAAGACAATAGTTAATGTCATTGTATTACATCACAGCAAAACAATATAATAGTTATTGTAATTGTTTTACATCACAGTAATACAATACAATAGTTTATGTCATTGTATTACATCACAGCAAAACAATACAATAATTTTAGAGCTTCAATGTATTGTTAGAAAAAAAAATAAGACAATAGTTATTCCCTACCGGCACATCTAGTTTCTTTTTCGGAAATAAAACATATATAGGCACGTGTTTTTCACGATCCAGGCGTAAACCAAAAGCACGTGTATATTAAGTTTAACACGTGTTATTTGAGGTTTTAAAGTCAAATTTAAATGTCGCATGTTTTTATCAGTGGTTTCACATTCCTTACGGAAAGTTATTACAATATAATACTACGTTTCCGTAACGGTGAAACCATCAATACTTTAACTTGTTTTTATAATAAATACTTATAGTTAATTTCACGGAATAAAAACCATTTTTGATACGTGTTATTCTTTTTGTTTTAGAAGGTTTTAAAAACGCAACAGAACGGCTGGGTTGTAACTGTTTATATTCACAGCAATATAATAACCATAAATAATGTTTTAATTTCATCTCTGGTATTACAATACAATATTTTTGTATTGTAATATTGCAATTATTATTGTATTTAATTTTTACAATAACAATAACAATAGTTCAAACCCTAGTTTTGGGAATAAGCTCTCATATTGGAAAATATGCGTGCATGTATTGTGAAGGTAAAACGGAAATAAATGCTGGAAAGCCAAGAACATTAAAAAACCTTGGTAGTAATATGTACTTTATAATTTATCTAAAATGATT